GCTCCAAATGACCTGATTAAGACATCAAATGTGCACATGTATGCAAATGCAAGCCTAAAACTACTATGTATGCAAAAGAAGGGAAAACATCAAGAATGATACTTTGGGTGAATGAAACTATGCAAAAGATGCATAAAAGAAGGGCTAAAACCATGTAAAATGCAAGTACATCAGTCGACCGCGGGCAATGTTTCCCGGGTCGTGATTGATCGGCCGACGGTTTGGACTTTGGCCGAGACTTCAGACGGACGGACGTATTTGGCCGAGCGCGGAACATGTTCGTTCCTCGGCCAGCCGGACTGCGCGGTTGGGCGCTGATTCTCGATAGAGCCGTCTGGACAGTCTTCACTCTTTTGGTTTAACTCCTTTTCTACTCATCCAAATGAGGCCGTTCCAGTTGCGTTGGAAAGTTAACTCAATCAGAGCACGCAGGGAACTGGTCTTGATGAAATCCATTGAGTAGATCTTTTTCTGGGCCCTCTTAAAGTTGATGCGTGCATGGAGCGGCTTGAAGTGCAAATCCTATGGTTTTGCTCCAAAATGCATCATTTCACCTGTTTAGACTCTAGACACTATAAACACAGTAAAACTACCTTTTTAGATAGAAAACCTGCCAAAAACCATTAGAAAACAATGCTAAAACAGTATAAAAAGCATGGTAAAATAGAGGTATATCAACTCCCCCAGACTTAGATCTTTGCTTGTCCCCAAGCAAAAAGAATCTAAATCCGTGAAAGAGGTTTGAAAACGTGGAACTCCCTTGCTCTTTTGAATATCCTGTGAAAGGTTCCTTTCCTGTATTCCACTAAGAACATAGACAACATAAGGTTAGCTTCACATACACCCTGCAAGTTTAGCGAACAATACCAACCCAACTAGTCTCATCCAGCAATCCAAACTCTCTATTGCTAACCTCTTGCATAAATTTAAAGCGTGAGTTCTTTATCAAGGGACATCGATCAATTGAACTTGTTCTTACCCACTTGATCTTCTCCAAGATTGTCTTTGAAGTGCAATGAGTTCTTTTCCTCTCTCTTTCTCACATCAGAACTTTGAAAGGTCAATTTCTCCCTACTTTTCTAGGGTATCATTTTATTTTTTCTATTGACCCTTCTTTCAACCACAGGATAAGTCTTTAGCTTGTTCCTTGTTTGACTAAGGTATTCCATAAGACATGAAGGTACAGACATATGCATTCCTCATGCTTACTTGTTTTCCTTGTGCTCTTTGAGCTTTTTCTCATAAACATTACTTACCATTTGGGATGGGAGAGAGAGGAGAACTCTTTAAAGATTAGACAAATCTCATTGAAAATCAAGCAAGGAACTGTCGACATGTATGCCAATCCCCTTGACAAGAGTTATTAAGATTGATTAAGGGTGAGGTTAACTCTAGATTGCTTGGTTACCTTAGAAATTTTGCTGAGCTAGCATGTCGATCCACTGTAAGAGCTTCTGTTAGGCTTGTGCCTTTAGCTGGTTTCTGCTCTAGGGTCATGGATTGTTAGCATAACACTCTCAATTCTCAAAGCAAGTTCATAACTTCCGGACTGGTTTTTGACTCAATAAAACTTTTTGAAAAACATGAAACAAAGTAATAAAACATAAGAAAAGAAAGAAAAATGCATTAGTAACACAATAAAACTCCCCCCAGACTTAACTTGCACCGTCCCGGTGAAAGCAAATCACATTAAGGTGAGAGGTAATATTCAAATAAAAGAAAATAAAGAAAGAAAATGAAAAGAAATGACCTTCAATGGGTTGCCTCCCATTCAGCGCTTTGTTTAAAGTCATTAGCTTGACTGTATGGCACTTCCTTAAGGATCTGGTGGATCGCCAAGAGCTAGTGTGGTCTCCTGTGGTATGGTGGTGGAGGCTAGGTAGGGTTTTAACCTTTGTCCATTGACTGTAAAGTCTCCTCCCATTGGATCCCATAGTACCACTGCTCCATAGGGGCGAACTTCTTTAATCCTGAATGGTCCTGACCATCTTGAGCGAAGCTTTCCTGGAAAGAGTTTCAACCTTGAGTTGAATAGTAGAACTTGGTCGTTTGGCGCGAAGTTCTTTGGGATGATCTTGCGGTCATGGAAAGCTTTGGTTCTCTCCTTATAGATCTTTGAATTCTCATAAGCCAGATGCCTAATCTCATCAAGCTCATTTAGCTGAATCAATCTTCTTTCTCCTGCTGTCTTTAGGTTGAAGTTCAACTCCTTAATAGCCCAAGCTGCTTTGTACTCCAGCTCCACAGGTAAATGACATGCTTTACCATAGACAAGATGAAAGGGGGTGGTACCAAGTGGTGTTTTGAAGGCAGTGCGGTATGCCCATAGAGCATCATCTAGTTTGGCACTCCAATCCTTTCTTGTCTTGCCTGTTGTCTTCTGAAGTATGCTCTTGAGTTCTCTGTTTGAGATCTCAACTTGTCCACTAGTTTGAGGGTGGTAAGGAGAGGCAACTTTGTGAGTGACTCCATGCTTCTTCAAAAGGTTGGCAAAGATTCTGTTGATGAAATGTGAACCTCCATCACTTATGACTATCCTAGGCACTCCAAACCTTGGAAATGATGGATTTAAACATCTTGATGACCACTTGTGCGTCATTGGTAGGGCTGGCGATGGCTTCCACCCATTTGGAGACATAATCAACTGCACTAGAATGTATTGGTCACCAAAAGAGGTTGGGAAGGGTCCCATAAAGTCAATGCCCCAAACATCAAAAACTTCAACTTCTAGTATAAAGTTCTGTGGCATCTCATTCCTCTTGCTTATATTTCCCATTCTTTGGCAAGCATCACATCTTGATATGAATGCATGAGCATCCTTAAACATAGTTGGCCACCAAAATCCAGCTTGTAGAACCTTGGATACTGTCTTGTAAGTGGCAAAGTGGCCTGCATAGCTAGAACTATGACAAGCAAACAATATTCCTTCTACCTCTTCCTCAGGTATGCATCTTCTAAACATTCCATCTGAACATTTCTTGTATAAGTAAGGTTCATCCCAGTAGTACCTTCTTACATCACGCAGAAATTTCTTCTTTCTGTAGCCAAAGAAGTTTGGTGGTGGGTATTCAGCTGCAAGGAAGTTTGCTATGTGGCGAAACCATGGTGTGTTTGATGATGAGATCTTTGTTCCTGGCCTGTGATGGCCTAGTTGTCCATGCTTATTGCTAGCTTCAGCTGCATAAACTGATTCAGGTAGCCTATCATCAAGAGGTAGGTTTTCTTCAACTCTCATCCTTGAAAGGTGATCAGCTACTCCATTATCTGCTCCTCTTCTATCCTTGATCTCAAGATCAAATTCTTGCAATAGTAGTATCCATCTCAGCAATCTTGGCTTGGCATCTTTCTTGGATAAGAGATACCTTAATGCTGCATGATCAGAATGAACTATAACTTTCGATCCCACCAGGTATGATCGAAACTTTCAAATGCAAAGACAATAGCTAGAAGCTCCTTTTCTGTTGTGGCATACTTGCATTGTGCCTCATCAAGCGTTCTGCTGGCATAATAGATCACATGTAGCTTCTTGTCCTTTCTTTGCCCAAGCACTGCACCTACTGCATAATCACTTGCATCACACATTATCTCAAAAGGTAGTTCCCAGTTTGGAGGTTGAACACAGGCGCACTGACCAATGCATCCTTGATCTTAGTGAAAGCCTTGTGACACTCCTCTGTGAACTTGATGTACTTGCATTTTACATAGTTTTAGCACATCTTTTATGCATCTTTTGCATAGTTTTAGCTTCCATTTGCATCATATCTTGTTCCTTTTCTCTTCTTATGCATTCATGTTAGTTTTAGGTTGCATTTGCATACATATGCATGTTTGGTCCTTTGAAATAGGTCTTTTGGAGCATTCTGGAGCATATGGGACATGAGGAGCATGGAGGGACTTGGCACATGGAAGCAGCTCAACTGGATACGCAAAGGAAGAAGGGAGAAGCCATCTTGAAGACCAGCTCGACCGTCTACTCGACCAACCGGTCGAGTTCCTCAACTCGACCGGCCAAGCTTCAACTCGATCGAGCTGAGAAGTCAACAGTCAAACCCGAAAAATGTTGCTTCCCCCTTGACTTTCCTTTGACCCTAAACCTAATCCTCTTGTATTTAAAGGCTCTAAGCCACGAAAAAACCACCAAGCTTTAGATTATTTTGTTTTAGTTTCTTTTAATTTTATTGTCTTTACTTTTTAGAACTAATCCCATCTTTGTGTTCTTGAAGCTCTTGCTTCTTGAATCCTAGATCCTGGATAATCTCTTTGTATTTGCACTTGCTTATTTCAATAAAAGTTGTTTAATTTCATCTCCTCTTTCTTATGATGTCTCTTTTATTGCATTTGCTTGTGTTTACATTCATGTGTAGTGAGTAGTTACCCATTAGGGTTTGAGATGGGATAGATTAGAGGTTTCATATGCTTAATCCTTCTAGCTTATGGTCTTAATCTAGATTCTCTCTCTTTTGGATAGATCTTAAGGCTACATGACCACTACCCCTGGCTTGTAAGTCCTTAGGCGATCCCCACACGAAAGTGATGGCATTCGCTGGAAAAGATCCACTAAGAGCTCCAATATCTCTTGCTCTAGACAATAGAGGTCTAAGGGGTTGGATGGATTAGTTTGGGCAATGATCCTATAGCCTCCAAGGTTTGATTCTCACTGGCTAACCCCCTGTTTCTGAGATCATTCCTTGGTTGATAGCCTCCACCTTGGGAAAGGGTTGGCTAGGCATTGAGAAGCCCAATATCAAGAGAAGCCTTGATACAAGGAGTTTTAAGAGCTAGATTGATTAAGTGTAGATTCCTTTGATTGCAAAACCCTGTCTTGAACCCTAATTCTCTCTTTATCTTGTTAAAGTCGTCACCTTTAGCTTTTTTGTCTCAACTCGTCCCTAAACTCGATCGAGCTGGTACTCTGTTCTACTCGACTCGAGTCTTGGTCGAGCTGACTTACTTCACTGCTTTGTTTACTTTTATTGCACTGCTTTTCATTTTAGGTTGTTAGTGTTACTTCAAATCTATAACTGCTTGCTTGACTTCCTGGTTGTTTCATATTCTCATAGAGTGACAAGTTTCCCATTTTGGATTGATAACCTCTTATACTCAATGACTATCATGGTTAAAGGGAATTGTTGACTGTGTTTGTGTTTGCATCTTACCACCATCATATACCACTGATTGCATTCCACTCATCTCATTTCATTCTTTTCACACACGAACATCCTACCATCAACTCAAAATTGATATCTTTGCATAGAAGGCGTGTTAGCGGCCTTGCTATCTTGCGAGAAATCTTTAATGAACCTCCTGTAGAACCAGCATGTCCTAGAAGCTTCTGATATCTTTACTGTCTTGGGCGGCTGAAGGTTTGTCATTACTTCAATCTTGGCCTTGTCAACTTCTATGCCTCTCTCTGAGATTCTATGTCCAAGCACTATTCCATCTCTAACCATAAAATGGCACTTCTCCCAATTTAGAACTAGGTGCTTGTCTTCACATCTCTGTAGCACTCTTCCAAGATTTCCCCAAACATGATTCAAAGGAAGAACCATATACTGAGAAATCATCCATGAAAACCTCCATAATCTCTTCTATGAGATCTGTGAATATGGACATCATACACCTTTGGAATGTAGCTGGAGCATTGCACAATCCAAAAGGCATTCTCCTATAAGCATATGTGCCATAGGGACAAGTGAATGTAGTCTTCTCCTGATCATCTGGGTGGATTGGAATTTGGAAAAATCCTGAGTATCCATCCAAGAAACAGTAGTATTGATGATTGGCAAGGCGCTCAAGCATCTGGTCTATGAATGGCAAGGGGTAGTGGTCCTTGCGCGTAGAGGAGTTCAGTTTCCTGTAGTCGACACACATTCTGTGTCCAGTGATTGTCCTTGTTGGAATGAGCTCATCATGTTCATTCTTGATGACTGTGATCCCTCCTTTCTTTGGCACGACATGTACAGGGCTGACCCATGCACTATCTGATATTGGATAATCACTCCAGCTTTCAATAGCTTCATTATCTCCTTCTTGACAACTTCCTTTAGGTTTGGGTTTAGCCTCCTTTGATGTTCAATTGAAGAACTAGACTCATCCTCCAGGATGATGCGATGTGTGCATAGTTCAGGTGAGATTCCTGTTAAATCATCCAAAGAGTAACCAAGAGCCTTTCTATGCTTTCTCAGTTCGCGAACAAGTAAAGCGGTCTCTTCTTTTGTTAGTGCAGCATTAACAATAACAGGATATGTTTCATTAGGACCAAGATATTCATACCTTAGACCAACTGGGAGTTGTTTGAGCTCGGCTTTTGGAGCTCTAAGTGGGCACCATGGGTCGAACTTAACTTTGGTTTGTGATATTTCCTGACCTTGTCAATGTCTGGCTCTTCCTCTTCTCTCTCTAAGTCCATATAAGCTATCAGCTCTTTATAAGCTTCCTTGGAATCCATGAACTTGACTAAGCATTGAGCTTCTCTTTCCATGTATCCATACTCATTCTCAGCCTTTGTCAAAGCTAGCTCCAAGGGATCAATAAGAAGGAGTTCATCCAGCACTTCTTCTCTTGTCTCTGCGAGCTCTCCAATCCAAAAAGCTTGACCATCTACAGTTGGTTTCTCCATAGACTTGTTTACCTCGAAATTCATCACTATATCTCCAAGATGCAAGTCAATCTTTCCATTCTTGACATCTATTATAGCTCCTGCAGTAGCTAGGAATGGCCTTCCCAAGATAAGAGGGTCTTTAGGTTGGTGTTCCAGCTCAAGAACTACAAAATCAGCAGGGATGTAGCAATCTCCAACCATGATCATGTCTGCAAAGACTAGAGAGATCTTTGTAGGTTTGAAGTCAGTGATGCCCAATAGCTTGGCCACTGAGTAAGGCATTAGGTTCACACTAGAACCCAAATCACAAAGTGCTCTATGGAAGTGTGTAGAACCGATCTTGCAAGACAAAACAAAACTCCTGGGTCGTTCAGCTTCTCTGGCATGCGATTCTGAAGTATGGCACTACACTCCTTTGTAATCATCATTGCTCCTTCTTCAAGACTCACATTGCTTGTGAGTATGGCCTTCATATACTTCCTGAGAGATGGAATTATTTGGCAAGCATCAATGAAAGGTAACCTTACTGAAAGTTGGCTAACAAGATCCTTGAGCTTTGCTTGCTCCTTCTCCTTCTTGGGTTGAGAAAGAACATTTCTGTATGGGATCTTTGGCTCATACACTCTTGGTTCTTCAGGTGGCTTCTCCACTTCCTCCTGAGTTCCTGGTTCTATTCTGACATGGACTTCCTTTAGGTGGTTCAGTCCCATCTCCAATGATGACATACTCCATTGGTTTCTTCTTGGTTGGCGGCTTTGCTTCCTCTTGATCTGGGTATGCTGGCGGCTCATACCCTTTTCCATTCCTAAGAGTGATAGCTGCTACAGCTGCTCTCCTTGGATTGATTTCCACTTTTCCTGGTAGCATACCTTCTTCTCTCTTAATAGAGCTGGCTATGTTGGCAACTCTAAGATCCAAGTCTCTTGTGAAAGAAGAAATTGAATCCAACTTCTCATTCAATCTCGTGAAAGCTGACTCCAATCTCTCATCAATCAAGGCTGTGTGCTCTCTATGAGAACTCTTGATGAAAGTTACAAATCTTCAAAATTGCTCCTTGGCTCCATTCTTCTCTTGTGAGGTGGTTGCTGATAATTTCTTCCTCCATGAACATCCCTCTTCTCATTGGGTGATTCTTGAGTAAAAACATCATGCTCTCCTTTCCAAGCTTCTTCTCACGTGCCAATCCATCTATTCCAACAAAGTTTACTTCTTCTTGGAAACTTGGAATCAAATCTCCAAAGTAATCTTGAATTATTGTGGATTCAACTCTATAAGCTTCTCTTTGTCTCTCCACTTCTCTTCCTTGGTTTCTCAGTATCTCAGCCATCATGGCTTTGATTCACTGTATCCATCTCTGTATGGATCAGAATTTATGGCCTTCACTGCTCTCTCATGCCCAATGAAGTTGTCACTGTCGCTTGAGGCTAGATTTTCAATCAAAATCTTTGCTTCAGTAACTGTCTTGGTCATGAAATTTCCATTGCTGGCTGTATCAAGAGAAAATCTACACTTCCCACTTATTCCTCTGTAGAAAATGTTCCATAGACTGCCCTCAGATAGCCCATGGTTAGGACACTCTCTTGTATAGTCTTTGAAGCGCTCCAATGCTTCATGAAAAGGCTCCACCGGCCCTTGTTGGAAACTAGAGATCTTTTCTCTCAACAAGTTTGCTCTTTGCTTTGTGAAAAAGTGACCTAGGAATGCCACCTTGTACTCTTTCCATGTGGTTATGGATTGAGCTGGAAGAGACTTAACCCAGCGCAAAGCCTTCCCTGTCAAAGTGAAAGAGAATAGTTTGCACTTTAAGTACTCTTTGGGTGCACCTCCTGCACTGATGGTGCCACAAATTTCTTCAAAAGCATCAATATGTTCCAAAGGATTCTCCTGGGTTTTCCTTGGAACTGGTTTTGTTTCACCAAACCAATAATCTCCGGCGAAATCTCATAGCTTCTTCCTTCAGGAAGTGGCGGCTGGATGGGATTCGATCGATTAGTAGTGTTGGATTGGAATCGAAGTCTCCCATGACTTCCTCATTGTGTCGCGCTCCATCTCGCGGCATCTCATTGGCGCGATCGTGCGCGCATTCGGATCCGGCGGATCTTCGTGCTGCTCGGCCAGCGCGATCTCTCTCGCGGCCAAGTTATCTCTCTCCTCTTGATCTTCTGAATCACTCATGTTAGAGTCCTTCTTTCAAGCTTAGTACCTGAAAGGGATAGAGGCAAGATTCTTTAAATAGAAAACAGTAAAAAGGAAAAACAAAAGTTGAAAGTTTGCAAAAACAAAAAGGAAAAACGAAATTCTAGGCTAGACTATAGTTGGGAACTCGAAGGTAGCTGTATTGCTCCCCGGCAACGGCGCCAAAAACTTGATCGCGGGATCAGGTCTTCCCTTTTCCTATCCCTGATTCTGCAAGTGCACAGATCAAAAGTAGTAAACGGGTATCGAACACAAGGAGCAGATAAGTACACTTCGAGTATTGCAAGTCTAATATAGCTAGAAAACAAGTATGATTTAGGGTTTTCGATTGTGTAACAAAGTAAATCAAACAGCAGATTAAACGGTTTATGAAAATCAATAAAGGGAAACGCTAGGCAATGAGAAACTCGCAGAGATTCAAGGTTAACAAGATATTAGAAGGGTTCGCTAGGGTTTGCGCTATCTAGAACTCAGGTCACGATTGTATGATCTTTCCACTGTCGAGGCTCCGACCCCTTTGTTAATCTACCTAGTCGCTAAACTTTTGGTATGTCCCTAGGTGATTAAATCAAGCAATAGTTCGTTCAAGACCCAATTGTTCACAACCCCGCATAGATCAACTTTCGCAGTCTATGAAGTTTTGCTCACCAAATACTTAGTTCAGGTTATATAGCAAGCTTTTGGAGAGTATATGAAACCTAAGATCTGATGCTAGTTGATCAGAAAAGCAAGCAGCAATGAATTCAAGCAGAGGCGAAGATGCGATATAGTAAACCCTATGTGACTTCTAACAACCTATCAAACCATGAACTCTTTGATAGATCTCACAACCTAACTAGTGAATTACTCAGACATAATCAAAGCAAAAACACAAAGAGATGAAGAAAACATGATTGCAATAAAACTTCAAAGTATGAAATCGTAATACAAGGCGGCTCTCTTTTCACAAGAGGCTAAAAAGCTATATATATAGTGCTAGGTCTTTTGAGGCGGCTTAGGGTTAAGCCGGGCCTTGAAAATATGAAATTGGGCTTCAAAACGGGCTTCGGGTCGACCGCGGCGTTGGGACGGTCGGTCGGGACGATCGGCCGGATGATCGGGTCATGGCCGAGTCGGAACGGTCGTGGCCGGACGGATGCGTGGTCGGCCGCTGTGGTCGGACGGATGAAATTTGGCCGATGAAATCTCTCGGCCGGACGCGGGAGTTCCCCGGCTCGGACGGAGCGTTCATGCCGTGGTACGCGAGACAGTTGCGCGGCCGCGAGGCTTTGCTTCCCGGCTCGCGCGCATGGTCGTGCGCGGCTGTGGCGTGAACGGTTGTGGCGTGGCCGACCGCGGGCAATGTTTCCCGGGTCGTGATTGTGCGCGGCCGAACGGTTTTGGACTTTGGCCGAGACTTCAGACGGACGGACGATGATTCTGGCCGAGCGTGAACGTTCGTTCCTCGGCCAGCCGGACTGCGCGGTTGGGCGCTGATTCTCGATAGAGCCGTCTGGACAGTCTTCACTCTTTTGGTTGTAACTCCTTTTCTACTCATCCAAATGAGGCCATTCCAGTTGCGTTGGAAAGTTAACTCAATCAGAGCACGCAGGGAACTGGTCTTGATGAAATCCATTGAGTAGATCTTTTTCTGGGCCCTCTTAAAGTTGGTGCTTGTGCATGGAGCGGCTTGAAGTGCAAATCCTATGGTTTTGCTCCAAAATGCATCATTTCACCTGTTTAGACTCTAGACACTATAAACACAGTAAAACTACCTTTTTAGATAGAAAACCTGCCAAAAACCATTAGAAAACAATGCTAAAACAGTATAAAAAGTAGGTAAATTAGAGGTATATCAGAAATCGCTGGAAAAGATCCACTAAGAGCTCCAATACTCTTGCTCTAGAAATGGAGGTCTAAGGGGTTGGATGGATTAGTTTGGGCAATGATCCTATGGCCTCCAAGGTTTGATTCTCACTGGCTAACCCCCTGTTTCTGAGATCATTCCTTGGTTGATAGCCTTTCACCTTGGGAAAGGGTTGGCTAGGCATTGAGAAGCCCAATATCAAGAGAAGCCTTGATACAAGGAGTTTTAAGAGCAAGATTGATTAAGTGTAGCTTCCTTTGATTGCAAAACCCTGTCTTGAACCCTAATTCTTCATTAGCTTGTTAAAGTCGTGCCTTTATTGCTTTTTCAACTCGACCCTAAACTCGATCGAGCTGGTACTCTGTTCCTACTCGACTCGAGTCCTTGGTCGAGCTACTTGCTTTACTGCTTTCTTTACTTTTATTGCATTGCATTTCATTTCATTTAGGTTGTTAGTGTTACTTATCATTACTGCTTGCTTGACTTCTTGGTTTTTCATATTCTCATAGAGTGACAAGTTTCCCATTTTGGATTGATAACCCTTATACTATAATGACTATGATGGTTAAGGGAATTGTTGATGTGATTGTGTTTGCACCACCACCTCATCTTATATACCACTGTTGCATTCCACCACATTTCATATCATATCTTTCACACACACACAAATCCTATCATCAATTTGGCGCCGTTGCCGATTTGGGAATATTTTTGTTGCATTTGAGTTTCAATACACTTGGACGATCAAGCTATACCACCCCTGTTCTATTGTACTGCTGGGTTTTTGTCTCTTTTTGCAGGTGTATGCGAACTCGATCGAGTCGGTCTACAGAAGACTTGGTCGAGCTAGACTTACAACGGGTAGAAAGAGGGTTCAGAGGTCACAGAGGGTACAAGAGGAACCTGAGGTGCTTGTTGCTGATACAATGGATGTACCAGAGGGGAATGGAAACCCTTTGGGCAATGGACTCGGTCGAGCTAGGCAAACTCGACCGATTGGTCAAGGAGATGCTCCAAACCGCCACCAACAGAGACAAGGGATTGTTCCACCACCAGTGCAGAACCACAACTTTGAGATCAAGCTGGGAATGATCAACCTTGTCAGAACAAGATGTTCCATGGATTGCCAAGTGAAGACCCCATTGACCACCTTGATGAGTTTGATAGGCTTTGTGATTTGACAAAGATCAATGGTGTCTCTGAAGATGCCATCAAGCTGAGACTCTTTCCTATGTCTCTAGCTGACAAAGCTCACCAATGGGAGAAGAGCTTGCCCCATGGCACAATCACCACTTGGGATGAATGCAAGAAGGCCTTTCTTGCTAAGTTTTTCTCCACCGGTCGCACAGCCAAGCTTAGAGGAGAGATACAGCTTCATCCAGCTGAGACATTCGCATTGGGAGAGGTTCAAAGGCTACACAAGTCAGTGCCCACACCATGGATTCAACAATGAATCACTACTCTCCACTCTTTATAGAGGATGCTTGCCTAGGTATAGGGAGATGCTAGACACAGCTAGCAATGGGAACTTCCTCAACCAGGATGTAGATGATGGCTGGCAACTTGTGGAGAACATAGCAACTCAAATGGAAGCTATGGAGAAGAGTATGATCGCACCAACCGGAGCTCGACCCACCACTCGATCGAGTCAGACGAAAAGTTGAGAAAAGATGTTAAGGCATTGAATGAGAAGTTGGATAAGCTGATCTAGCTCAGTCCACAATGAAGAAAGTCAACTTTGTGTCTGCTGAGGAGATGGAACCAGTCCAAGAAGGGGAGGATACACAATTTGCTGAGGTGTGCTACATGAGCAATGGGCAAGGAGGTTACAACAAAGGATACTATAATTACAAGTCCAACCCTGCCATGTCATACCGCAACACTGATGTTGCTAACCCTCAGGACCAAGTCTATCCTCAACAACAAGCAGCTCGATCGAGTCAAGCCACAACATGGGTATGGTCAAAAGAACAATTACCAAGGACCCCAAGGACTTTCCCTGGACAACAAATGAATACCACCAGGCTTTCCCCACCAACCACCCCAGCCTGCACCTACAAGAGAATGAGCTCAAGGCAATGCTAAAGCAACTACTTCAAGGGCAAGCTGATGGGGTAGTGGACACAAGCAAGAAGCTAGCTGAAATAAACTCCAAGATCGAGAATCTCAACACAAGGGTTTACTCTCTGGAGAATCATGCTTCTTCTGTTGCTGCTGCTACAAAGCAAGGACAACTACCTGGTAAAGCTATTCAGAACCCCAAGGAACAGTGCAAGGTCATCTTCACTCAAGAAGGACTTGTTGAAGAAGAGGATCAAGAAAGGGTCATTGAAGATTTTTGTTTACTGCTGAATGATGAAGAGATTGTTGCTGCTGAGGCTCCTGGAGTCCAGATTGATCAACCAGAAGTGCATACCTACTGTGGCCATTCACACTTCACCAGTTGAGCTCGCACAACAAGCTCGATCGGCAGCTCGATCGAGTCGAACTCTAGCTCGATCGAGTCCGACCTTCTGTCCCAAACCGATTTTGCTTGATCCTTACCAACCGGTTGCTTCCTCGTCTCGCCTACTTAGTCAAGGTCACAAGGAAGTGATTCACAAGTTCAGAAGAGATCTCAGTGGGATTGGAATTGAGTTGCCTCCTATGGATAGCATGAGTGAGGCATTTGATCAAATGCAAATGGTCAAGGATGTTCTGCCAACAGTGATAAAGTTTCAGAGGTCCTGAGAGTCTACTCATCAGTTCAACCTGCTTACTTCACCCACTTTCCTACCAAAGGTCAAGGATCAAGGGAAATTCACTCTCCCTTGCACACTTGGGCATCTTGAGCTTGACAATGCCTTAGTGGATTCTGGAGCAAGCATCAATCTGATCTCTCTCTCATGGCAGAGAAGCTAGGCATTGGGAGCCTTGCAGCGCCCTACTACTTCAATCATGTTTGGAGATGCAACTTCTAAGTCTCCTCTTGGAGTGTTCAAGAACTATCACTTGAAAATTGGAGAATGCATCATCCAAACTGATCTCACTGTGATGGAAATGGAAGAAGAGAAGGATCTACCTCTGTTATTGGGAACCCCTTTCCTTAGTACAGTTGGCGCTTCAATAGACTTTCACAAGCAAGAAGTGGAGATGCTTTTGACGCGGAGATCACAGATTTTGACGCGGAGGTGGAGATGCTTCGTAAGATCCGAGTAGAGAAGATGGAAGTACTCGTGAAGTGCGACGAGATTGCTTCCAGGTTGTTGAGCGAGCTCGGACTTCCTCCTCTTACACCCGATCCGCCGATCGTTCCGCCTCCTGCGTTCGATCCCGAGTCAGTCGAGAAGGCGGTAGGAAAGATTGGGGTCGCCGATCCGCATGGTTCGAACATCACTGCACCTGTGTCGTCGGATGATACTTCTTTGGGGGTCGAGCAGGTTTCTGGTGAGACTACTGTTGTAGGAGATGGAGCTGGCGAGCCGACTCAGCTCGATCGAGCTGGCTCTCTTTGTCACCTAAACTTAACTTATTGAAAGGTTAAAACATAAAATAGATAGAAATTGCATAAATAGAATATGTACAAGGATAAACATGGGACTTCCTCCCAAGTGAGCTTGTTTAAGGTCCCATAGCTTGACCTTTACCTTCTTAGGCATTGGTTGAGCTAGTCCCACCATCAAGGGTGATAGTGAGGACTTGAGACAGAAGCTCCTTTAGCTTGGTTGGGTCCCTGGACTGTTCTGAAGTCACCAAGGCCTTGGCTCTAGAGAATGGCCTTGATCTCCCCTTGTACCTTATCTTGTACTCAATCTTGGTGGGGAACCTTGACTGAAGGGGCCTGAGCTGGTGGATCCTTTCTTTTATCACCTGGTCTTGCCTTAGAGGCTACATCCTCCCCTTCTTTTAGAGCCCTTCCTAGTGGCTCATCAAACAAAGCTTGAAGGCTCTCTTCATCAAGCACACAAGGGGCTTGAACAAGTCTATCAGCTCTGGCCTATCAGATCGTGGTTTCTCAACTCTAGCCCTCTCAAGACGTGGCTTCTCAATCCTTGGTCCTCTCTCATCCTTATCCTTCCCAACTCTTGGTTCTTGTCAACCCTTTCCTTCACAACCTTTGTAGCTCCATGACTCTTAGAACTGAGAGTGGTACTGTCAATTGTGGCACAAAAGTCTGAACCTCTAGGCTGCAAGCGATATGACACCAAACTATTCACCTTGTGAAGGATCACTTCTTGCTTGTGAAAGTCTATTGAAGCGCCAACTGTACTAAGGAAAGGGGTTCCCAATAACAGAGGTAAATCCTTCTCTTCTTCCATTTCCATCACAGTGAGATCAGTTTGGATGATGCATTCTCCAATTTTCAAGTGATAGTTCTTGAACACTCCAAGAGGAGACTTAGAAGTTGCATCTCCAAACATGATTGAAGTAGTAGGGCGCTGCAAGGCTCCAGCAATGCCTAGCTTCTCTGCCATGGAGAGAGAGATCAGATTGATGCTTGCTCCAGAATCCACTAAGGCATTGTCAATCTCAAGATGCCCAAGTGTGCAAGGGAGAGTGAATTTCCCTTGATCCTTGACCTTTGGTAGGAAGGTGGGTGAAGTAAGCAGGTTGAACTGATGAGTAGACTCTTGTAGGACCTCTGAAACTTTATCACTGTTGGCTAACATCCTTGACCATTTGCATTTGATCAAATGCCTCACTCATGCTATCCATAGGAGGCAACTCAATTCCAATCCCACTGAGATCTCTTCTGAACTTGTGAATCACTTCCTTGTGACCTTGACTAAGTAGGCGAGACGAGGAAGCGGCAACCGGTTGGTAAGGATCAAGCAAAACAGGCTGGGACAGAAGAGGTCGGACTCGATCGAGCTAGAGTTGGACTCGATCGAGCTGCCGATCGAGCTTGTCGTGCGAGCTCAACTGGTGAAGTGTGAATGGCCACAGTAGGTGCATGCACTTCTGGTTGATCAATCTGGACTCCAGGAGCCTCAGCAGCAACAATCTCTTCATCATTCAGCAGTAAACAAAAATCTTCAATGACCCTTTCTTGATCCTCTTCTTCAACAAGTCCTTCTTGAGTGAAGATGACCTTGCACTGTTCCTTGGGGTTCTGAATAGCTTTACCAGGTAGTTGTCCTTGCTTTGTAGCAGCAGCAACAGAAGAAGCATGATTCTCCAGAGAGTAAACCCTTGTGTTGAGGTTCTCGATCTTAGAGTTTATTTCAGCTAGCTTCTTGCTTGTGTCCACTACCCCATCAGCTTGCCCTTGAAGTAGTTGCTTTAGCATTGCCTTGAGCTCATTCTCTTGTGAAGGTGCAGGCTGGGGCGGTTGGTGGGGGAAGCCTGGTGGGATATTCATTTGTTGTCCAGGGAAAGTGCCTTGTGGTCCTTGGTAATTGTTCTTTTGACCATACCCATGTTGTGGCTTGACTCGATCGAGCTGCTTGTTGTTGAGGATAGACTTGGTCCTGAGGGTTAGCAACATCAGTGTTGCGGTATGACATGGCAGGGTTGGACTTGTAATTATAGTATCCTTTGTTGTAACCTCCTTGCCCATTGCTCATGTAGCACACCTCAGCAAATTGTGTATCCTCCCCTTCTTGGACTGGTTCCATCTCCTCAGCAGACACAAAGTTGACTTTCTTCATTGTGGACTGAGCTAGGATCAGCTTATCCAACTTCTCATTCAATGCCTTAACATCTTTTCTCAACTTTTCGTCTGACTCGATCGAGTGGTGGGTCGAGCTCCGGTTGGTGCGATCATACTCTTCTCCATAGCTTCCATTTGAGTTAGCTATGTTCTCCACAAGTTGCCAGCCATCATCTACATCCTGGTTGAGGAAGTTCCCATTGCTAGCTGTGTCTAGCATCTCCCTATACCTAGGCAAGCATCCTCTATAAAGAGTGGAGAGTAGGATTCATTGTTGAATCCATGGTGTGGGCACTGACTTGTGTAGCCTTTGAACCTCTCCCAAGCCTCTGCGAATGTCTCATTGTTTCGCTGGATGAAGCTGGATATCTCTCCTCTAAGCTTGGCTGTGCGACCGGTGGAGAAAAACTTAGCAAGAAAGGCCTTCTTGCATTCATCCCAAGTGGTGATTGTGCCATGGGGCAAGCTCTTCTCCCATTGGTGAGCTTTGTCAGCTAGAGACATAGGAAAGAGTCTCAGCTTGATGGCATCTTCAGAGACACCATTGATCTTTGTCAAATCACAAAGCCTATCAAACTCATCAAGGTGGTCAATGGGGTCTTCACTTGGCAATCCATGGAACATCTTGTTCTGGACAAGGTTGATCATTCCCAGCTTGATCTCAAAGTTGTGGTTCTGCACTGGTGGTGGAACAATCCCTTGTCTCTGTTGGTGGCGGTTTGGAGCATCTCCTTGACCAATCGGTCGAGTTTGCCTAGCTCGACCGAGTCCATTGCCCAAAGGGTTTCCATTCCCCTCTGGTACATCCATTGTATCAGCAACAAGCACCTCAGGTTCCTCTTGTACCCTCTGTGACCTCTGAACCCTCTTTCTACCCGTTGTAAAGTCTAGCTCGACCAAGTCTTCTGTAGACCGACTCGATCGAGTTCGCATACACCTGCAAAAAGAGACAAAAACCCAGCAGTACAATAGAACAGGGGTGGTATAGCTTGATCGTCCAAGTGTGTTTGAAACTCAAATGCAACAAAAATAACCCAAATCGGCAACGGCGCCAAATTGATGATAGGATTTGTGTGTGGTGTGAAAGATATGAAATGAGATGTGTGGAATGCAACAGTGGTATAATGAGGTGGTAAGATGCAAACACAAACACAGTCAACAATTCCCTTTAACCATCATAGTCATTATAGTAAAGGGTTATCAATCCAAAATGGGAAATTGTCACTCTATGAGAATATGAAACAACAGGAAGTCAAGCAAGCAGTAATGAATGGTAACACTAACAACCTAATGAAACAATGCAGTAAAGTAAATAAAGCAGTAAGCAACAGCTCGACCAAGGACTCGAGTCGAGTGGGAACAGAGTACCGAGCTCGATCGAGTTTAGGGTCGAGTTGAAGTAAAAAGCTAAAGGCACGACTTTAACAAGCTAAAGCGAAATTAGGGTTCAAGACAGGGTTTTGCAATCAGAGGAATCTACACTTAATCAATCTGCTCTTAAAACTCCTTGTATCAAGGCTTCTCTTGATATTGGGCTTCTCAATGCCTAGCAACCCTTTCCCAAGGTGAAAGGCTATCAACCAAGGAATGATCTCAGAAACAGGGGGTTAGCCAGTGAGAATCAAACCTTGGAGGCCATAGGATCATTGCCCAAACTAATCCATCCAACCCCTTAGACCTCATTTCTAGAGCAAGAGATATTGGAGCTCTTAGTGGATTTCCATCACTTCCATGTGGAGAATCGCCTAAGGACATACAAGCCAGGGGTAGTGGTCATGTAGCCTTAAGATTATCCAAAAGAGAGAGATCTAGATTAAGACCATAAGCAAGAAGGATTAAGCATATGAAACCTCTAATCTATCCCATCTCAAACCCTAATGGGTAACTACTCACTACACATGAATGTAAACACAAGCAAATGCAATAAAAGAGACATCATAAGAAAGAGGAGATGAAATAAACAACTTTTATTGAAATAAGCAAGTGCAAATACAAAAGAGATCCAGGATCTAGGATTCAAGAAGCAAGAGCTTCAAGAACACAAAGATGGGATTAGGTCTCTAAAAAGTAAAAGACAATAAATTAAAAGAAACTAAAACAAAAGTAATCTAAAGCTTGGTGGTTTTTTCGTGGCTTTTAGCCTTTAAATACAAGAGGATTAGGTTTAGGGTCAAAGGAAGTCAAGGGGGAAGCAACATTTTTCGGGTTTGACTTTGACTTCTCAGCTCGATCGAGTTGAAGCTTGGCCGGTCGAGTTGAGGAACTCGACCGGTTGGTCGAGTAGGTGGTCGAGCTGGTCTTCAAGATGGCTTCCTCCTTCTTCCTTTGCGTATCCAGTTGAGCTGCGTCCATGCACCAAGTCCTCCATGCTCCTACGTCCCATATGCTCCAGAATGCTCCAAAAGACCTATTTCAAAGGACCAAACATGCATATGTATGCAAATGCAACCTAAAACTACTATGAATGCATAAGAAGAGAAAAGGAACAAGATATGATGCTAATGGAAGCTAAAACTATGCAAAAGATGCATAAAAGATGTACTAAAACTATGTAAAATGCAAGTACATCACTCCTCCTCCAATCCACAAGACCCTGCTGGAGATGTGAACGCACAACCCCAAGCGGAGCAACAATCGGAGACTATGACTCTGCCGATGCTTTCTTCATGGATAGAAACCCTATCCATCCACCACTTCCTGCAAGGAATGACTATGAGATCAAGCCTCAGATCATTGCATTGGTTAGACAGAACCAATTCAATGGCCTTCCAGCTGAGCACCCTCTTGATCACATAGAAAACTTTGAAGAAATTTGCAGCACTACAAGATCCAATGGAGTCTCTGCTGACTACCTTGAAGTGCAAGCTCTTTTCATTCTCTCTTGGCGACAAAGCTTCAAGATGGTTGAAGTCTCTGCCAGCTCACTCCATCACCACTTGGGATGAGTACAAGGCTGCATTCATCAACCACTTCTACACCAACAAGATCAATTTCTGTGAGAAACAAGATCTCCACTTTCGCCAAGGCAACAATGAATCTTTCTATGAGGCGCTAGATCGATTCAAGGAGTACATTAGGGACTGCCCTAATCATGGTTTCAATGAGGGAAACCTATGGAACATCTTCTATCGTGGCATAGACCACAAGTACAAGCTTTCATTGGATACTGCAAGCAATGGAAACTTCATGACCAAGACTGTTGATGAAGCTAAGGTTCTTATTGAGAATCTTGCAGCTAGTGATTGTAACAATTGTCCTGATTATGACCGCTCAAGCCGCACCACTACTAGCTCCCCTGATTCTTTTCAAATGACTGAACTCAAGAACATGATGGCTCAAGTTCTTAAGGGACAGCTCAAGCATATCAATGCAATAGAAGGGATGAGTGATGCTAATGAAGACATCAAGAGAATGCATGGGAGATTTCTCTAATGAAGCAATGAAGAAGATGTGAACTACATTGGAAACTATGGGAACAAGGGATACAATCCAAGCTATCGCCCAAACCCCAACATGTCTTATAGAAACCCCAATGTGGAGAATCCTCAAGACCAAGTGTATCCTCCAAGGTATCCACAACAACAAAGACCTCCTTACCAATCTCAAGGAAGTCAATTTCAGCCAAGGCAAGGATATGAGCAGAGATCATCATATCCGCCCAAGGAGCCATATGCTTCTTCACCAAATCAAGCTCCTCCAAACCAACAAGGTGGAAGATTTGAAGGAATCCTCCAACAGATCATGGATGGCCAGAAAAGAGAAACACTAAAGAGATGTATGAGAAGATGGACACTTTGTTCAGCAATCTCAACACCAAGTATGATGCTGTTGCCACTCATGTGAAGAAACTAGAGACTCAAGTCACTCAAACTATGGAAGCTGTTAAGAGACAGGAAGCTGAATCCAAGAAGTCCTTTTGCAACTCAGCCGCCATAGAAGAAAGATTTGAAGACCAAGTTCCAGAATGGATGCTTTCAAAACCTACTGTTGATTGCATGATTTGGCCTGAAGAGATTACCCAGAGAGAGAGTCCAATCGAGCTAGAAAGAGAAGACTCTTCCCAAAGATTATCCCCAAGACAGATAACTCAGGAAAGTTTGCTGTGCCTTGTATCATCAAAGGTAACATTCTTGAGCAATCTTTGTGTGACACAGGAGCCAATGTGAACATCATGTCTAAGAGGATAGCTGACAAGATAGGCCTCACCAAGATAAGCCATCATCCATCTCCATCAACTATGCTGATTCATTCTCACAAACCCCTATGGCTTTGTGCCTAATGTGATGGTGCAGATTGGAAATTGCTCTATCCCTACTGATTTCCAGATTGTGGAAATGAGAGAGAGTAGCCATAGACCTCTCATATTTGGAACCCCTTTCCTGTCTACTGTGGGTGCCATATTTGATTTCCCCAATCAAAGAATCTCTTTCAACAAGGTGAACAAGGGTATGTTCTTCCCTATGTGTTCAACAAAGAACTCTTTTGTTGACATGGTCCAAGAGGAGAAAGCTACTTTGAAGCCACCCCAAGAAGGAGAAACTGAAGAAACAATCAAGGAAGATCCCATTCCTAAGCCCAAGCAGCTTGCCAAACAAGCAAGGAGTAAGACTAAGGCCCCTACACCAAAACCGCCCAAGGGATCAACCAAGATTGAAGATGAGGCCAAGCCAAGAAGAAGGTTAGAAAAGCCTAGGTCTGGCCGCAACATGAAGCTTCTATTCCCAAGGAGCTTATTGATGAGAATCTAGAAGGATTCAAGGAGAAAGTTGACAAGAACTCTAAAGCTTTTTCCTAAGGCAGTAGTGCCAAGGGACATTCATGGAGAGATTGTCTATCCAGCTGTGAATCACCCACCAGATACTCATTGCAAGGAGAAAAGACTTGGAGGATCAAGGATGCCTCTTGTCTCCATCTTCTCCTGAGCGCCAAGCCTTACAGTCAAGCTAAAGACTTAAAACAAGCGCTGCATGGGAGGCAACCCATGAGGTACTTTTACTTTTCTTTCTTTAAATTTTCTTAGTTTTTGTTTTGCTTTTGTGTTTTCTTTGTTTTAAGATAGGATAGAAGGAGAAAAAGGTGTGAAAACACAATCCGCGAAAACATTGGCCGCGGACGCGCAAAGAAATTTGGCCGAGCAATTCCAACCGGCCGACCGTTACGGTCGAGCCGGGAAGGAACGGCATGCTCGGCCGGATTCTATGCGCGACAAAACCGTTCGTCCGAGCACGCACGAACAGGAAGGAACAGGCCGCGTTCGGCCAAGAGAACGGAACGGACCGACCGTGCCGGTCGATCCGGGAAACAAACGTTCCCTCGGCCAAATTTTCGTTCGGAACGGGACCGACCGCCGATCGACGGGAAATCATCGGCCATCGGCCGAAATCTCTCGGCCAAGGTACCCAATGGCAAGGACAAAAGAAAGTGAGACCATGAAGAAGAAGGATCCATTCATGCAACCACCAAGGAAACAAATCAAGCTAGGGAGCAGCCACAGAAATGCAAGAGCAGCAACCCCACCTTCACCACATTCCATTGATGAAAATCAAGATCATGTGGAGGTTCCAAGAGGAGAAGACGATTGGCCACTGATGTACTTGCATTTTACATAGTTTTAGCACATCTTTTATGCATCTTTTGCATAGTTTTAGCTTTCATTTGCATCATATCTTGTTCCTTTTCTCTTCTTATGCATTCATGTTAGTTTTAGGTTGCATTTGCATACATATGCATGTTTGGTCCTTTGAAATAGGTCTTTTGGAGCATTCTGGAGCATATGGGACATGAGGAGCATGGAGGGACTTGGCACATGGAAGCAGCTCAACTGGATACGCAAAGGAAGAAGGGAGAAGCCATCTTGAAGACCAGCTCGACCGTCTACTCGACCAACCGGTCGAGTTCCTCAACTCGACCGGCCAAGCTTCAACTCGATCGAGCTGAGAAGTCAACAGTCAAACCCGAAAAATGTTGCTTCCCCCTTGACTTTCCTTTGACCCTAAACCTAATCCTCTTTGTATTTAAAGGCTCTAAGCCACGAAAAAACCACCAAGCTTTAGATTATTTTGTTTTAGTTTCTTTTAATTTATTGTCTTTTACTTTTTAGAGATCTAATCCCATCTTTGTGTTCTTGAAGCTCTTGCTTCTTGAATCTTAGATCCTGGATAATCTCTCTTGTATTTGCACTTGCTTATTTCAATAAAAGTTGTTTAATTTCATCTCCTCTTTCTTATGATGTCTCTTTTATTGCATTTGCTTGTGTTTACATTCATGTGTAGTGAGTAGTTACCCATTGGGGTTTGAGATGGGATAGATTAGAGGTTTCATATGCTTAATCCTTCTAGCTTATGGTCTTAATCTAGATTCTCTCTCTTTTGGATAGATCTTAAGGCTACATGACCACTACCCCTGGCTTGTAAGTCCTTAGGCGACTCCCCACACGAAAGTGATGGCATTCGCTGGAAAAGATCCACTAAGAGCTCCAATATCTCTTGCTCTAGACAATAGAGGTCTAAGGGGTTGGATGGATTAGTTTGGGCAATGATCCTATAGCCTCCAAGGTTTGATTCTCACTGGCTAACCCCCTGTTTCTGAGATCATTCCTTGGTTGATAGCCTCACCTTGGGAAAGGGTTGGCTAGGCATTGAGAAGCCCAATATCAAGAGAAGCCTTGATACAAGGAGTTTTAAGAGCTAGATGATTAAGTGTAGATTCCTTTGATTGCAAAACCCTGTCTTGAACCCTAATTCTCTCTTATCTTGTTAAAGTCGTCACCTTTAGCTTTGTTTGTCTCAACTCGTCCCTAAACTCGATCGAGCTGGTACTTTGTTCTGACTCGACTCGAGCTCTTGGTCGAGCTGCTACTTCACTGCTTTGTTTACTTTTATTGCACTGCTTTTCATTTATTTAGGTTGTTAGTGTTACTTCAAATCTATTACTGCTTGCTTGACTTTCTGGTTGTTTCATATTCTCAAAGAGTGACAAGTTTCCCATTTTGGATTGATAACCTCTTGTACTACATGACTATGATGGTTAAGAGGAATTGATTGATTGTGTTTGCACCATTTCATCTTTATTCACCCCTGTTTGCATTCCACCTCATATCTTATCATTTCATTCATTCATTCACATCCACACAAAATCCTATCATCAATTTGGCGCCGTTGCCGATTTGGGAATATTTTTGTTGCATTTGAGTTTCAAACACACTTGGACGATCAAGCTATACCACCCCTGTTCTATTGTACTGCTGGGTTTTTGTCTCTTTTTGCAGGTGTATGCGAACTCGATCGAGTTGGTCTAC